AGGGTGATTTTGATAGAAAAAGATCTAGGTCAAATGGTTCGCATGGATGAAAGATCAAAGACATCTGAAGACCCCTCAAAGACTAGGGCAAAGTTCGCCAAGTTCAAAACGACTCCAATAATAAATGGAATGAGTTTTTGAAAAAAAATCCTAGATTAATGTTGAGAATTGTCTGAATCTTCATCGTTTGGACATACCATTCATCTCTATGACATGTATCCAATTTATTTTCTTTCCCATTTGTTTTGTACCAAAATAGTTCTTCATTGATTATTTTTACCATAATTCACCTTGTGTTCTCTTATTGTTATACTCCTAGAATGAATTGAGAAAATATTTGATTGCATTGTATTTGTCAAGAATTGAAATGATAATGAATGAATGAATGAATATGTGTTTAAAAGAGTCTTGCATTCATTTGAAAAGAAATCTAAGATGATGGTGGTAACAAAATGAAGAAATGGTAGAAACCCAAAAGAGATGATTTGGAAGGATATATGATGCCACCAAATGGAGAATATGATAAGGCAAATCTTGAAAAGTGGTATAACCAAGTGATGAGTACAAGGATGAATTGGTCGATATGACTTGCAAGTTATGATTGAATGATGAAAACAATCAGTGGACAAAGTTTGTTTTGGAATGGTTAATGCTGATACACCCATGAGTAATGACTCAGTGATGGTGGATGAAACTTGTTCTGAAATCTGTTAGTGCTAAGAAGTCCATGAATGGTGGTCAAGTGATGATCGATTGATGAAACTTGTTTCAAAATATTGAGAAACTGAACAAGGAAGACATGCGAAATGATGGAGTTTTGAGAGCCATATCACCATAATTATTTAGAATTTTGTTGCATAGACATTCGCATTACATGCATCATGGTGGCATCGTCGCTTGAATAGTACATGCATATGATTTGATGAATTAAACTTTGTTTGGACATAGCATGGCACTATGAGAATATAGGTTGTCACATTTGCATCATTAAGAAAGCATTTGCATCTTTGGTCATAACATTCATTCATGCAAAATTTTGAGTCACTTGAAAAAGAAATGGTGAATATTTTGATGAAAATTTTTGAGAACTCAAATGAGAATCTCTGAGTTTCAAAATGAGAATATTTGAGGAGTGAAACCCTAAAGTTCATCAAATGTGAATTTTCGAACAAACGAAAAGTTTTGAACTTTTGGATGTGAATCTTCAAAATACAAAGCTTCAGCTTTTTAGATATGAATCTCTAGATTTTTTTAAATGAGAACCTTTGAACTTAGATGTGAAACTCTAAGTTTTATTGCTGAGCCTTTGAACTCAAATGAAAAGCTTTGAATTTTTGGATATGAATCATAAGCTTGTCAAATATGAACCTATTCTTTCAGGGACCCTTAAACTTAGGTGTTCTCTGAAAGGACAGATTCTTTAGGTGGCCAATCGCACATAAATAAAAAATATTGGTGGCGATTCTTTTTAAGTCAATGTCTAGCGATAGATCCTCGGATCTAGACGTTATGACATATTTGTGAATGAAAGATGTGGCGTGTGTGTGTATGTGCAGTACAAGTTTATGTGACAAAACATAACCCAACTGGCAACAACCATACCTACTTGGCCAATTATGTACGTTAGTAATAAACAGTAAAAAGAAAAACCACACTACAGCTGTTCTGTAAAGAGGGATCCTATGGATTCTTTAGCTTTGACTTAGCATGTATGTATATTTCCAGGAGAGATGTCTAAAATTAAACATTAATGTTTTATCATTTGAGTCATGAAAAACTTATCGTATATATTTCTTTCATCTGCAGGCACATAAAAACTTACCCATCCTGTGTATCAGTTATAGAGATTTGGACTGATGCCAGATGAGAATAAAGCATGATTGCAATTCAAACAGTATATTGTTGTAAGCTTCAAAATTGTGCGCATATAGTATTCTGAGATTTATATTATCTTCAATTTGATGATGCCTGCAGCTTTCTTCTACGAACCCCTTCGGGGGAGCTTAATCATATAAGGGCATTGCAGAAACATTCTTAATTATATTAGAATACTTGTTTCTGATGTATATATTTGTGAATAGAAGATGTGGCATGCGTGTGTATGTGCAGTACAAGTTTATGTGACAGAACATAACCCAACTGGCAACAACCATAACATGCAAGTTAGTACAAAAATGACTCTACAACTGTCGCTCAGCAAAATAGAAATTAAGAAATCAGTTGGTTGAGAGTTCAAATCAGGTAGGTCTATCAGCGAATGAAAACAATATAATAAATCAAACAGCAGTTAATAAAATATTTTACTTTTAATTTAAATGAAACCAACCAATGTCAGCACGAACTAAGGTGATGAATGTTGATAACTCACTTTAAAAAAAGTACAATTAAGAAAATGTTTGCATTGTGATTTTACTGTAACCCAAGATAACTTTGTGATCAATCATGAATTCATGACATGTTTATATGGCTTACTCTTGAGCATAAAGCACATTATTTAACAGCTAAAGGGGGTGTGTAAATGGGGTTAAATCAAGATAATGGGTAACTTTGACAGAACATATATAAAGGGAAATGATAATTTGATTGGTGCTTTAGAGTTGCAATTGGGCCCATTAATGACTTATATTGCTCAGAAAAAATAGTAAGAATAGAAAAAGGGACTAAGCCAGTTTGATTCAGATGGTAAGGTTCAGAAGGAAGGAATAGCTTGTCTGCCAAAGGAATCCAGCTTCAGCTAGTGGTTAATTAATTACTACAGAATAGCACCAAGAATAAAGGTGATTCTGAAATCAATTCCTATGCAATAAGGGTGATCTGAAACCCTAAACGCTAAATACTATTAACACTTACCTATCATCTAAATTTGCATCGATCATTAGAAACGTAGAAAGTTGATTGAGATTGAACTTGATAATCAGTTTGTTGAGTACCAGCAAGATATTATCTGTTGTTGCCCACATATATATACCTTTGAGCCCTTTTTCAACTGGTGGTGGAACAAAATTATGATGTCTGTGGCCCTAGTTATAAAAGGAATATCATCTTGATGACACTGAAAAGCTCAGCAGTGAGGCTTACCCTGAAATTGAAATGGCCTTAATACTAATTCTGTCTAAAAAGCATATGGTTTTATTTGAAATTATAAATTAAAATCATTTTTCAGCTAAGCTTATGTTCTTGCATTGATATCAATTTCAATAAATTTAGAATAGTTTCTAATTTTACTAAAAAAATTTCCGATCCTTTTAAGGCATAAAACACTCAAAAATTAAAAAAGTTTCTGATTCTTCATATTATTGATGACAATGACCTCAAGTACGTTGCTGTCATCTTGGATAATAATGATTGAAAGTTTAGACATATACACAGAAGAGAGGAATTTCATTTGCATCAGTTGGCAACAAGGGAAATGATTAGAAAAGCTGGAGGATACGGATACCAATGTTTAACCGACCAAAAAAAAAAGCTAATGGGGCAAGGTGGCTCAATTCAAATGCAAAAGCTTGATTTGGTTGTTGCCTATCTTGCAGCCTCAAGTAATAGCCTCGGTTTAGTCCATGTTATTTTACCAACTCTAATAAATCAATCAATCGAATTTAAAACATAATTTTATTAGTTCATATAATTATTTTTTATAAATTTAAATTTTAAAATTTAATATTTACAAAAAAAGGTGACGGTTTAATTTAAGATTACTTATATAGTACAGAAACTCTAAAATATACAAGGCCTGTCACTGTTCTGATCAGTTGATGGCCAACTTGACATAGATGCTGGAATCTCATATTACTGAGAGAGGATCTGTATAATTAGCTAGGTAGGCATTAGGTGAAGTGGTGGAGATACTCGATATGAAGCTAGCTTAGCTAGGTAAAATCTATTAGAAAAAGAAAAAAAATAAAGAGAGTAGATATGACACTTGCGACCTCCATTTGTAACCTCTTTACTGGACATATATGGACATACATGCTATGTGAAGGTCAAAGATCCGAAACCCTACCAACAATTTCAATGGACCCACCATAGGGAACCCCCCCCCCCCCAACACCAAAAAAAATACTGATCAACATTCTACTTTAGCTAGCTTCTGGCTTCAATCAGTTGGTAATTTGAAGCGTGATTGATGATCAGTCAATGAATCAATCAAGAAATGAAAAAGAAAAAAAAGGGGAATGCTTTGTAGTTCACAGTTGATCCCTCTTAATCTAGCAGGGATAAAATGGATCGCTTTTGATTGGAGTATAATTAATAAGCTAATGGATATATATGCATTTTATTTTGGTAACACTTATCAATAATGATATGTTGATAAAACATAAAATTTTTAATTTTAATTATCAAAATTTAAATCTTGATAAAATTAAATACAAAATATATAGTATACCCAAATACTATAGAGAAGCAAAACAAAGAAGGAAGCAAAATCTGCTTGAACTTTATCAACACACAGTTTGAACTCCCCAAAGTATATTAATAGCGTTACATTTATACAAATAACTGTTTGATTAATATAATATTAACTATATATACAAGTAGCTAAATTATGTTGTTATATTATATTAATCAGATTAATTTCTAATTTGTATATTTATCGATTAAAGGTAAAAATTAAAAAAAAAACCTCAAACAAAAATAGTTAATAATTTTTTTTAATAACGACTCAATTAATGTAAATATATATTTGATAATTTAATTTATTACAAAAAATATAAAATTTTAGATAATTATTAAATTTTAGTTCATAGTGCTACTCACGATTTTTTGGTCCGCGTCTGAAAAAGGCCCATTGGAATAAAATCAAACCCAAAACCAAGAGGATCAATACTTGTTATGTTGGGTTATGTACCCAAGTCTGGGCCGAGTTTTAACAATAACTGTGATTAAAGTTTTGTTATTGTAAATTTAATTCATACCTTTTCTTGGACCGAATGATGGTCCCAAAACACAAGGGTGGTATAGTAAATTCAACTTCTCAATAAAGCCACATTTCAACAGCCGTGTTGTGTACTGTTCAACAAATCATCCTCCCAGTAAGCGAAAATAAAAAAAAATAAATGCTGCTTTTCGTCCTTCCCATAATTATTCTTCGGCATTTGGCTTGGAGAATTCTCAAGTTCTCCAAAATTCTTATTAGAAACCAGATTCTTTTGTTTTGTTTTTGGCCAGTATATATTCACAGGAAATTTGTGTTAGCTTAATTTTGAGCTAAGAGTATATATTCGCATCCATGGCTACTGGAAGTTCGGTGATCTCAAGCGCTGTAATCTACCAGTTAGGACGTAACACCGCTTCAACGACAAAACCCAACTCGATTGCTGTTTGCTTCTCGGTTTTGACTCGAGAAACCAAGTTGCAGGGAAAGGGTAGTCATGTTTTGAGGAAAAAGAATGGCTTTAATTTGTGCATGGTGATGCAACAGAGAAGAAAAGAGACTGAAAACGAGGTTGACAGGAGTGATACTGGGAAGATTTCTGAAAGTATGAAAGATTACAATCACGTCACACTTTCCAGGGTGGAGGAGAAATTAGCTAGGAAGAAATTAGAAAGAACAACTTACCTGCTTGCTGCTATGTTGTCTAGTTTAGGCATCTCCTCAATGGCGGTTATGGCTGTTTATTACAGGTTTTCATGGCAAATGGAGGTAACAACATTGTTTCCGTTTCCCCTTCTCCTGGTTCCATCCCGTTAAATTATCCTTCTCGTTCTTAATTTTGGTTTTGATTAATTACAGGGAGAAGAATTCCCACTGCTGGAGATGTTTAGTACATTTGCTCTCTCTGTTGGTGCTGCTGTAAGCGTATAATCCTTCTAATCTAAATTTCCCCCTGATTGAAACCCTATCAAAGATAAATGGTTTTCTTAAAGTTGATTTTGTACATGCTTGAATTTTTAGGTAGGGACGGAATATTGGGCAAGGTGGGCTCATAGAGCTCTATGGCATGCTTCATTGTGGCACATGCACGAGGTCAGCTACAAACTGTTAAATCCATCTGAGCCCTGCTCTTTGAGTGGAAAATCATGTGTTTAAATCAAGAGTTATTTCATTATTTGGTATGGGAATTTTGCAGTCTCATCATAGACCAAGAGATGGAGCCTTTGAGCTCAACGACGTATTTGCAATAATCAATGCAGCCCCTGCCATCGCTCTCCTCTCCTACGGTTTCTGCAACAGAGGCCTTGTCTCGGGTCTCTGTTTTGGAGCTGTCAGTTACTTTTCTTATAAAACAATGGCCTTTTCGCTTACCATTTTTAATTAATTGCGTCAAGTTATTACCTACCTAACTGCTTGTAGTTGAGTTTAAGAATTTCATACGGACGATTGAATCTTTTTTTTTTATGGTTTAAAATATTAAACAGGGTTTAGGAATCACGGTGTTTGGTATGGCCTACATGTTCGTTCATGATGGGCTTGTTCACCGTCGATTTCCAGTGGGTCCCATTGCAAATGTTCCTTATCTACGGAAAGTAGCTGCAGCCCACCAAGTAAATTTACACGCCTCCGCATATTAACATTTCCTTCTTAGTTAATTTCTTATAAATGTTTTTCAATGAAGCAGCTTCATCACGCAGACAAATTTCATGGGGTGCCATATGGCTTGTTTTTAGGACCTCAGGCAAGCCCTTTCAAATCCTTTTTTTTGGTTTTTTTAATCCTATTAAAATATGAGAAATAGATAACCAACGAAAAAAAAAAGGCAAGTTGATTGATAATAAATATTTTTAGTACGTTTATTTTTTCAGGAATTAGAAGAAGTGGGAGGCTTGGAGGAATTGGAAAAAGAGATGAAGAAAAGGACTAAATTGTCACAAAAATATTGATATTATATAATTCAGGAATTTCCTTTTTATTAATTGAATTTAAAACAAAATCTATTTGTATAATTGTATTTGTATCTAGTGTTTATGTAAGTTCTTTACAGAAAAAAACAACATATGCAAATAGAAACAGTCTATTTTATTTTTTATTTTTAAATCCATATAAGATCAGCAAATGGTTAGTTAATCTGCTTAATTTTATCTTTTTATTTATTTCAAGAAATTAACTTGTGCCACCATCCCTCAATATTTTTTTATTATTCAAGGGGATAAAGCTTTACATTAAGGGAAAGGAGAAAGATTGTGATTTGAACCCCCGACTTTGATATCTTCTTTAAAGTTATTTTAATCACTAGATCAAGTAGTTGAAGACATCATCCTTTAATATTATCGTCAAGCAATTGAGTTCTAAAATGACATGAAATTTTTTTTTTTTGCCCTAACATGACATGAAATTAGGTAAGGATTTTGATAGATAGAATATTGAAAGCAACATATATTCTCTTTTAAAGTCAAATTTGTAAAGTTTGAGATTTAATTAAATTGATTTTTATAATCATCTTTAAAAAATAACTTTTAATAAATTTAAATTTAAATTGTAAGATTTATAACTTTTTCTCTATTCATAAGTTACAACTTTCTTTATACAAAATATATATATATATATATATATATATATTTTATGTATATATTGAAATGTCCTTAAATTAGTATATATTTACAATTTTATAACTTTATAAATTTTCAAAATAACTGTATAATATTTAATTTACATAATATAGATAACAGAACATTTAGGTTTCATACATGATAATTTGGGAACAAAGCCTAATGCAAATAAACAGTAAAAATTAACAATGAAATTGCAAAAAAAAAAAAAAATGCAATTATATATCTTCAACACTTTTGTGCCGAATGAACTATTTTAGATGTTTGATTTTATTATTTTGGACGAAGATGTTTGCCAATTAATATTTTTTTTAAATGATAGTTACATGTTGTTAAGAATTTTTTTTTAGTTTCATTACAGAATAAGCTATGTAATGCAACACCAAAAAATATCTTTTTTCATGACCCAACGTCTTGCATTTCAGTAAAGTAATAAATTCAAGGAAAATATATAATAACTGTCCTATAAATATGTGCGATTTTTTCAATCATGCTTTTTATTACTTTTCGTATATTTTTTTATATCTTATTTATTTCATTTTATTATATCTTATTTTAAATTATCAAATCTATTTTTTTTTTTCATGCTCCAACACCTACATGCATTTGTGCCTAACAATTTAACAAATCCCATGCGTATGTAAAGGCTTCTCTAGTTTTTCATTAATTCCTAGGGCTTGCTTGGGGATGGGTTGTTTTTATCATTATATATTAGTATTCCATTTGAAATATTTATAAGATATATATTCATTCATTATTCATTATTGATATAAATGTTATACTCATAAGTAACAGTCAATTCATCTGAAAAAGAAAAAAAAAAAAAGAATTGTAAGCATCTACATCACTCTTTCTTTATTTTCAAATTATGATTTCTCTTGTAAAAAAAAATTATTTATTTTTGTTGGAAATATTATGAAAGTAAAAATTTAAATGCATCATATCAATGTAAACAATATGATTATTAAAATAAACTATAAAAAAAATTAAACAAAACTTAAGATATTCCTGATTTATATATAGAGAGGTTATAATTTAATGTGATTAATCGGATAGAATAATTAACGATGGTGATTTAGTTTGCGTGGGTTTAAGTTTAGTAAAATTTAGGGTTCTAAGTATTTGACTACCAAAAATGTAGTCTTAATGAAAAGAGAAAAGAAGACGTGCAAGCAAATGTGAACAGAATAAGAACAGCTACAGCCTTGGCGCAATATATATATTTTAACTTCTTCAAACGGATTAAGACAAAGCAGATCGAAGTCTTCAAGTTTGAAGGAGACGTGGAACTGAAAACAAACGAGAAGGATAACCTTACGTGCTGTCTTATTCTTCCAATTTGTAAGAGACCAGGCATATAAATAAATAAAAAAATAAATAAATAAATATATATATATATATATATATATTACATTTACGAAAATAAATTTGTTTTTGTAACTCCATCGATACCTCAAGCCACCAACAAAGCCTAAGCAAAATTTTATATTTTTTTACTAAATCATGTTTTAATTTTTTTTTTTTTTTTTAATTTGGATAATTGAATGAAACAGCTTTTGATCATAACAGTGTTGGCTTATTTGAAACCTATACCAGAAAAATACAAAAATATTTCAAATTTTTTGAATGATTACGGAGTGCACTAGAGATGCTGCAATTTTGATTAGCATATGATACTTATAGAAAGTGTAAAAGAAATTTTAAACCAAGCTAACTTTTAATAACTATACTAGTATGTTTTAAAAAAAATCTATACTAATATTATGTTAAATTATAATGAAATATTTAATATAATATTTGAATTATTAATCTTTTAATTAATATTATTTTTTAATTATATATTATTATTTGAAATTAATTACAATAAGAGAGAAGATAATATTAATTAATAAATTTATAATTTAAATATTACGTTAAAAAATTTTAAATTTCAAATGTTACATTAAAAATTTTACTATAATTTAAAGAGTATTGGTGACATTAACCCTAAAAAAAACTAGTGATGCATTTCAATACAAGGAGACGTATGTATGTTTCAAGTTTTAAAATGTCAGAGAAGTGTTGCATGCATTTAGCTTTGATGGACGGTCCATGTTGCGGCTTACTTAGGATTGGGGCGGAAGCCCAGAAGTATCCAGGCCCACGTGTGCCGTATTTAGAGCAAAGGGCCTGACCCGGCATGCATCAGTCGCCTTTTCTTTTTTTTTTTTTTTGGCTTTTGCCAAAATATAAGTGCTCTGCCAAATTTGCAAATGTGAAGTAAAAAAAAAAAAAGTGAAAAAATTCATGTTTTTCAAGACATGATGCAAGTCTTTACATTGGTTTGAACATTTGGAAAATATTTTTAAAATTATTAGAATACTGTACCTTTTTTAAATATTTAAAAAATTTAATTTGAATTAATATTAAAAAATAGTTTTAAACTAAATTACTTTAAATAATAATTGTTTATTTAAATAGTGTTTATTTTTGTATGTTTAATATTTAATATTAATGTAATTTTTTAAATTATAAAAATTAATATATAAAAATGAATTATATACAAATTACATAAAACAAATGTATTTACAAATGCAATTTACATTTATTTTTTTATAAAAAATAATAATTTATTGTATAATTTAACGTATATTTTTATTGATGGCATAAAAATAAATTAATTTTTCATGTTATTAAATACTTTTAACGATAACAGTGTAATTATCAAATAAAATCATCATTTAAAATATAATATCAAAAATAAAATTCTTTTATTATGTTTAAATTATTTTAAGGAATAGCATAATTTATAGGATATTTATTCATATATATATAATTATTTAAATTATTTTATATAAACATTTTATTTTTTAAAAAGTAATATCATAAATTTAATTTATATTAAAACTCTCTGTTCGTATTTTTTATTATGTTAAAGTGAATATTTTCCTTTTTTTTAAATCAAAGAAAAAAAAAAAAAGAGAGAGCTAAAAATTTGCTATTTCACATTATTGAAGGAGCAAATAATGCAAGCTAAATGCTCAATTTAGTTGTTGCGGGACTCTTGCCTTAACTGTTCTATACATTGCCTTACCTTGTCTAACAGTTATTGTTCCCTTTATTTGAATTTGAAGAATTAAAGTAAGCTTTTTTAATAGTCAGCCAAATAAACTCTACCACTTATAGGTTATTTGACTGTTTGATTAACCTAGGTATAGAAAAATTATTGCCATATCAGAAACACCTCTCAACAAACTTTCTCCCAAATTAAAAAATTTACAATTTCAAGCGTGATTGTCTCAATGGAATTTAGATGATCTAAATTTAGAAAGTGTAAATGTCTTGCATAATTCTTAAATTATAATAAAATATTTAATGTCATATAGAATTTAAATTTTTTGTAATGTGTTAATTAAATTATAAATTACAAATTTATTATCTAATTTATTGTATCGAGATAAATTCTTATTATTTATTTTGTATCTAAATAAGTTTTTATTTAAAATAAATTTATATATAAATTAAATATTAAAAACTTATTTAGATATAAATTAAAATTTTAAAAATTATTTGATGTAAAATAAAAATCAAGAACTTATTTAGATGTTAAAAAATATAAAAATTTATTTAAACAAAATAATAAATTTGGAGATTTTTTTTTATTTTTTTAACCTTAGTATATATATATATATATATATGCAAAGCTTTCCCAATGATTTCTGATCAGCTGCAGGTGGAGCAAGTCGATGGCCAATCTTTTTCAAAAAAGATTTTCAGTACAAGGGTGAAACAAAGCCAAACAAAATATATGATATAGATCTTTCATTTCTTCCTTTTACTAAATCTCATTTTAGGAAGATTTGAAGATTTTTATTCGAAACATGTGTTTTTATGATTGAATTAAAAAATTATATCATAAAATGGACATTCTTATGAGGTGAAAACTTTCCATATAAGTCTTAAGTTGATTACATATTTACATATCAACAAAATTACTCAAACTTTACTTCAATAAAAATGATAAAAACAAATAAAAATAAAAAATTTAATTTAAACTAATAATAAGGCACAGAGTAAGAAAATGATTATAAAACTTAATCACCTAATTATTAGACTAATTTTTATTTTTAACTTTTTCTATTTTCCTACCAAAAATATTAATTAAGTTGATCAATGATTAAGTACTTATCAATTTAGATAAATCAAATACTGATCAACAGCATTTATGATTAAATTATTTTACTAATAACTCATTTGTAGATAAAATTTTGAGTAAACTTTCATATTATTTGCTTTGGTTATAAGATCTTAAACTGTTAGCAAATTGATTTCCAAATCAAATAATGGTTAGTTACACAAGATAATCTTTTCCTCTTTTATGCCATCTTGTTCAATCTCTACAAAACATTTGGACATGTCAAAACCTTTTATTTTATTTTTTATTTGACATTACTTACCCTCTTATCTTTTTCTATTTAAAATTTATGATTAACTGATTAATTCATTTAATTCATATAATTATTTAAAAAAAACCTTTAAGTAATTATTCCCTTAATTCCGAGTTAAGTTCATTATCATAACTTTATTTATGAATGTAACTGAAGCAGTTTTGATTTTAGATTACATGAAAACAGATTCGAATCAAACCAAATCTTTCTTTTTTTTAATCTCTTTTTGAGACAAAAGAAGGAAATCTGTGCAATCTCATTGTGATAAGAAAAAGGATCAAGAACAAAAGAAATGAAAGAAAAACTTCCACAAAATGGGTCTGATCTGTTTTTCTTTTCTTTTCTATTTGGAATTTGTATCATAAATTTTCCTCTTATCAACTAACCAAGTGGAATTCCCATCACTCAGAAAACAAGACAAAACAAAGGAAAATGCCATAAAAACTAACCGTTAATGAATATAGCTCATTGTCTCCGCAACTCAACAGCCATTTTTGTTTTTGTTTTCCCTCTTGTTCTTCTGTTTTTTTGGCTTCAAATCACAGCAAAATCATTCTGTTTTGGAATTCATCTCCTTCCTTCTGTCCTTCTAATCTTACCAAGCAATTCCCCATCACAGAAAAAATAAGACAAAAATGGAAAAAAATCCCCCATAAATGAAACGTTAACGTATCCTCCATTACAAAGAGTCTGTGCACGTAAAATCAATCCAGTCTTTGTTCTTTTGTTGCAGTATTCTCGGACGACAAGTGTTATTTCCCGCCTTCAGAAATCGACAAGGTGGGGTCACCTGCACAATCTTGGACCACATTACCACAGTCCAAGTCGCTCACATGGTTTTGGAAATCTTACTAATTCACACCCAAAAGAAAATCTTATTTCATACCCAAAAAACAAAAAAAGAAAAAGAAAAAATAATTGCACATGAAAATATTTATTTGCTCGGTGTCGTTCCCATACAGAGGTGGTTTGCTTCCTGCCAACAATGCAAGCTATCACCTTTGCCTCTTTGTAACAAGAAACAATCTCTTTTTCTTCTCATTTTCTTCACTTGTTTCTCTCCCATTTCCTCTTAAACCCCAATTTCATTTGATTTTACTTTCTGGTTACATTCTCGTCGTTCAAACTAGAAACATTTCCTTTTTCTCTTATCAAATCTAGCAAGTCCTTCCACCATTTTTAGATTCTCTAACAAAATACATGCAGTAGAAAAACATCTCTAATTTTTCAACAAAACCGAAAAAGAAAGGAAAAGAAAATGAAAGACGCCAAGAAAGATTCAGTGAAAGTAGTATGGGATCAGATTCAGACGAGAAGCCCATCAGGCAACCCGCTTGTTCCTGGACCATTGACCAGACCCAATCCCAAGCTCATGGTCTGGTTAATCCTATTCGTTTCAGCTACTTATGTTATCTACACTCTCAAGCTCTTAACCTCAGCTCAACAAACCTGCGACGATACCCGATTTACTTTATCTCTGCATCGCTCTTTACTAAATCTCAACAGAACAAACTTGACATCTTCACCGTTGATTCTCAATCAAACGGCAGAGGCTATGCCGACCCATCATCGCCATCGAGATATCCGAGAAGAACAAGTGGTAATACAAGTGCAACAGGCTCCGCCCAAACCAAAACTGACGGAAATTCACGACGTAGTCTTTGGAATTGCAGCTTCTTCCAAGTTATGGCAGCAGAGAAAAGAGTACATCAAGATTTGGTACAAAACGAACCAAATGCGAGGCGTAGTTTGGCTCGACGATCGCGTGAAATACTCTCCCGAAGACAAGCAAACCCTTCCATCGGTTCGAGTCTCCAGTGACACTTCCAACTTCGCTTACACGAACCCGCAAGGTCACCGGTCCGCGATTCGGATCTCACGGATCGTGACGGAGACGTTAAGGATGAAGATGAATAACGTCAGGTGGTTCGTGATGGGTGACGACGACACCGTTTTTATCACGGATAATCTGGTTAGGATTTTGAGGAAATATGATCATACTCAGTATTATTACATTGGGAGCTTGTCGGAATCTCATATTCAGAACATTTTTTTCTCCTACGGCATGGCATACGGCGGCGGTGGCTTTGCTATTAGCTACCCACTGGCTAAGGCTTTGGCAAAGATGCAAGACCGTTGTATTCAGAGGTACCCGGGATTGTACGGCTCCGATGATCGAATGCAGGCCTGTATGGCTGAACTCGGTGTCCCACTCACTAAGGAACTCGGTTTCCACCAGGTCGGTAACTCGGTTTCCACCTCTTTTCCGGTATGGGTTTAGTCTGGTATAGCTCTTTTACCAACTTAAGTGTTACTAGTAGCGTCTCTAATTATGATTTGGGGTTAAGTTAATTGTGACTGAATTTAAATCTACCGAGTTAATGAAATTCTAGAGTAGATTCTCATTTCCCAATATGTTAAATTTCGGTTTCGGGAAAATTTAGGGGGCGATGAAATGAGATTACTGGGGCATTGCAGCATTGTGGTTTATCGACATTAATGTTGGTGTTACGGTGTATCGAGCTCTGGGTGGGTGATTAGCTCTTTGCTATTTCTTCGACTCACCCGGGGTTCGTAGATGTGGGTGACGGGGTGGGGCCCATGCGTTGGTATGGTTTAGACATGGTTTTGTCACATTTTTTTTGTTCAACTGATTTTGTATCATTTATGTTGTCTTTTGCTCAAGCGCTATTCTTGTGCGTGGCTGCCACGCTTCTTTGACTGAAAGATGGAAACAAAAACAGCTTCATGTAAGAGTTGAGATTGTGGCCCTTTTGGGTGGGTGAGATGTCTAGTGGCATTGTTTTTCTGCCGTGGCTTAATGACTTTTTTTTCTTATTAGCCAAGCTAATAATTGGCTACATTTGTTGGGGATAAAGTCCATGTTAATGACTAGTTAATTATTTAGCTCATCGCTGCACTAAATTAACAATGTCATTCCACCAAATTATGAGTTTATCGCCGTGTTTAAGGTAATTGGTTTAAGTTGGTATGATGAATTGAATTTCTTGATCGAGTATTATGTGCGAGGCCTGCATACCAACCCCCATATATAGGTGGAGCACGCGAGTCGGTTGTTTGTTGTGTGTGCATTTGTGGTTTGGATGTCTTTGTCGGTGAGAAAGTGTCCCTCCTGTTGAATTCCACTTACATGTTCATTGTCGATGCTGAATCTGGGTGGTTCATTGCAGGAACAAACATTTCCACTAATATTAATGCTATTACTTTTTAACTTGAGATTTTATCATTCAAAAGAACATCTAATTCTAAGTGTTTCTTGTTGGTTAATGGAATCAGTATGACGTGTATGGGAACTTATTTGGACTCCTTGCTGCGCATCCTGTAACCCCATTGGTGTCACTGCATCACCTTGACCTTGTTGAGCCTATTTTCCCCAATGTGACCAGGGTTCAAGCCCTTCAGCGGCTTTTGCTGCCTGCAAAGCTTGATTCGGCAGGGATCATGCAGCAGTCCATCTGCTATGACAAAACTAGGAGTTGGACCATTTCAGTTTCATGGGGTTTTGCTGTTCAAATTTTTAGAGGAATCTTTTCCCCAAGGGAGATGGAAATGCCTTCGAGAACATTCTTGAATTGGTACCGAAGAGCTGATTACACTGCATATGCATTCAACACTCGTCCTGTTAGCCGAAATCCATGCCAAAGACCTTTTGTGTTTTACATGTCAAGGGTGAGAATGGATTCTGAGCTGAATAAAACTGTGAGTGAGTATGAGCGGCACCGAGTTCCTCATCCTCCCTGCAGATGGAGGATGGCTGATCCTGATGAGATTGAAATGGTGATTGTCAACAAGAAACCAGACCCACATCTATGGAACAGAGTAAGTTGCTCTAGCATCACATTATTTGTTACTTTATTTGCAATTCTGCATCAAAAGATCAATTTAATCTCGTCAATCATGTACCAAAAATTCATTCATATAGTTTTGCCAGGGAAGGCTGCTCCTGCTGACCTTCCATTTCTACTTCTGAACTTAAGATATTGAGGTGAACCAATTTGTTTAAGGACAAAATAAGTGACTTGGGCTTAAGGTTTTTTTTTTTTTTTTTTGCAGTCACCGAGAAGAAACTGTTGCAGGTTCATGGAATCAAAGGAGCCAGGAGCCATGGTGGTGAATGTGGGTGTATGTAAGGATGGTGAGATTAGTGAAATATAGTGAATAAAGTTGATTGTTTTAGGTGTTAGCATCTTGTTTTTCTTCTTTCATCCTTAATCACTGTCTTTCCTATTCTTTCTATTAATTTATCCATCAAGTCTCCTGTTTTATATCTGTCTGCAAGAGCAAAGACAGTTTCATTAGGGAAACAAACAATAAAAAGTATGTTGTATAAAAAATTGCAGCAGTCCATTCAACTTTTATGCATCTCTTATTTGTCTGGTATCAATCTCTTGTTTCGTTTTCAATGGGAAATGGAATACTGAATATCTGATCTCATACTGTTCCATCTATATGCAAGGCCCTGACAGTACAGCTTATTTACAAGCTAAACATTAAAGAGCATGCCTTGCTGAAGCATCCAGCGACCAGATAAATCATTTCTTTGATGAACAGAACAAATCATGCAAAAACAAAGAACAGGACTCCATAGCTTATCAATTAATGAAGATGTTGACTATAGCTATATATTGATGTAATTGTAGTAATGTTCCTGCTTTTTTGAAAATCAATAATTCATCCAAATCCAAAGATGAATTTAGAACAGAATACCACCAGAGAGCAAAAAGATTCAGACATGTACGTGATTAGATTAGCGTGCTTGCAGAAGAAAAAAAGGCAGGGAATCTTTATGATCTAGGCAGGGAACTGGAAGTGGGCCCACAGATGTGTTCAATATAGACCCTTGATCCAAAAAAAAAACTAACCCTTTTGCTAGCTGTGGACCTGGTCTTGTGATTTTAGTAGTGTATATCAATTGATCATTGCCCAAAAGTAATCTGCAGTGGTCCATTACTCTTCTGATGGACAACAATTTATGTGCGCATATTTTTCTTTACTAGAAAAATAGGAAGTACAAAATTCATTTACAGCCAAAGTTGTTTATATCAGAACACTGTAGCTATATCATTCTTACAACATTTTCCTTTTCGAAACAGGGAAGTGACATTTGATGGGGATCTTTCTTTGGGGGGTCAAGTTTTGTTGAATATTATTATTATTAGGCCAAATGGGGCTGAAAAAAAGTGTCGGTGCAAACTGCAAAGCCGTAGTTGTAAACGGCAAACATCGTGTAAGCTCTGCTCCAAGTGTGATTGAGAACGAAGTACAATGACAAGGAAGGGAAAGGGGAGGGAGTCCCATCCATCCACCTGCAGAAGGAGACGCAGAAAAGGAAATATCCGTAGATCGATGTGCAGGGTACAGTGGGTCACTGCACCGCATGATCAGATGGCTCCTGAATCTGTTCCATTTATTTTCCTTTACATAAAGAAGAAAAAGACATTAAGGCCCAATGGATTTGGCATGGGCTTTCTTTACCATACAATATATAACTCAAACCCATGAAGCATTGGGCTCATATAGGTCGGCTTAGCATTTAGCAGCAGCCTACAATGGCTAATGGTATAGTAGTTATAGGTTGTTGCGAAAAGGCTCAAGGAGTTTAAAATTTAAATGTTAATTTATATAATTATTTTATTAAATAAATTTAAAATTCAAATTTCATTATCTATAATCTATTCTCTTAACTCAAAGTTTGACCTATGTAAAAATAAGCTCCAAATTACTAAAACGAGAATGGAGATTAGGGCAACCAGAATCATATATCCTCTATTTATTTTTATATATTTATATATAAAATATTTATGCAGTGTAAATTTTAAAAATATTAAGAGTGATTAATTTAAATATTTTTATAAAAATTCTGAACTAACAATTTTATTCTTTAATTTTAATATTTATTATAATATTATTGTTGATTCAATTTAAACCAATACAAAAGCTAGAATCCTTATCAAACTAAATCATTACAAAACCATGGAAAATAGAGATTACTAATTGGTTATTGATTATAAAATCAAAACTATATAATTAACAAGTAAATTGAAATTGACCCATATTTTCTTTCATTTGTGTTAATTGTTTCTCTTGATTTCAATAATATTACACTTACAAAACTATGCAATTATAATTTCTGAGCCCAAAGCCTAAAACATTTGCTTGTGGGTTCTTTAGAAGCTTGAAGTTGCATAGTTGGGATACATTTATTAAGGTAAATGACAAATTGAATCAACTAATAGAATATCAATCATCGGAATATTATATTTACCAGGGAAAAGTTGCAGTTTCATAGTCTTTTCCATTTTTCCCGAAAATTTTTTGTTTGCTTTGATGGGTTTCATTTCATTGATCAATGCAAAAAAGTACACTAAAGCCTGGGTACATTAATGTGGTCCAGACCTGAGTTTTGTTCCACTTGATAATCCCATTACACTAACATGGAGGACCAAGAGTATCAACCTATAACTTTTTTCTTTTTTCAAGATTTTCCCCCTTTTCGTCACTGATTCCCACTCTTATTGTTGCATGCATCATGTTATAAAATTACAGTAATAATGCACTCTTCTCTCCTACAAATTCAGGGCCAATCAACTTCAACCACATTTGCACTTGAATGTTTTTCATTTTTACTCATTCATGAGAAAGAAAGAAAGAAAGGAGCATGTTTTGGCATGCATACCTTTGTATCGTGACATTCACAGATAGCTATGGATTTGTATCACAACATTATTATCATTATCCCCTCGCAGAGAGAATTTGAAAGATTCCATTAAATTTTGACAAAAGCAAGAATGTTCTATTTATCAGCAGAAAATGGGAATTGAAGTCTGTCCTTTTCGGTTGCAAAATATCCCTCCAGTATGTTTCAACTGTCACTGCAGACAGTACAACACATATATGTCTATCTTTAATTTTTTTTTTATTAAAACATTGAATTTTGCAACTTTAGAACATATACCTGAACAAAACCCATGTCAAAAATCAAGATTTATTCCTTTCATTCCCAGTAAAAGCCATGACCATTTGAAGGTAAAGAAAAGAAAACATATGGAGACTCGGATGATTTAATAAGTGATATAAACGCCTTTCTCTTTGCCTTTCAAAGCAACCAGGCGAAGAATAATGCTTTTTCAGGATGTCTACTTCAAATGACAAGGCAAGTTGGGCATGCATTTTTTCTGATAACTTTTTTTTTTTTTCATAATTTTCAAGAATGATTAAAACATTTTAATAATATTTGAAAAGGGTTTTTAACAAGCAGAATGATTAGAAACTTACGAACTAGCAAGCATATATCAATATTGCTGCAGTCATAAATACAATGCATGCAATTACTCAAATACGGAACTAAGCCATTCCTTGTCCTTTTTGTTTCTAACTTTAGGTTGAAGCAAATTAAATGAGCATTTATGTCATGTGGTGGATGATTTAATGCATCTAGTAAATGTTAGGTTAATCTAACACGCTTTTAGTAGATTACTTTGCCTATTTCGTTTAAGAGCTTGAGCCAATATATATACTAAGCAAGGTAGAACATGCAAAAACGATTTATTTTAATAAAATAATTTATCTTTGATGCAAAAAGTTAAATTTTTTATGAAATATCATTATGTAATTTATTAAAAGTATATAACATTTATATACGGACAATGTATTAAATATAAATATTTATTAAAAACCATTTTTAGATCAAAATTAAACAGATTCTACAATTTGGGTTTATTTGTTGGGTAGGAACTCTATGGTTGTAATTGTTGTTGAGAATTAATTTGGGGTTTCTTCAATTAATCTTCTTTTCTAAACCATGTGCCCTAAACAATGGAAGAAATAAATAAATAAATCTTGGAGAAAACCTAATGGCTTTTTTCACTGTACTATATCTAAAAAGGAAATTAGTAAAGGCACATTTAATGGGCAAAAGCAGTAGCATAAAGCATGCCGAAGTTGACAAATTATAAAAGCAAGCAATTCTTATGGACATGAAATATCATCTTCATGAAGATGAATTGGCGACCACAACAACGATCACGATATCCTGTAATGCTTGTGGGAATTGTATTAATCTCCAAAACTAGGGACCCCAACAAATTTGGTTGCTAATTAAATTTATTTGTCTTTACAAAAAAGGAAAAAAATTAAAAAAAAAATGTATGATGAGCCCCGAAGAAATGTTGTAAGTTCAATTGAAACAAGAACCACAAACGACTCAATCACTGAGCTTGGTCAGTGTGTGTGAGAGAGATAAGCCTAAGTAATAAACTGATATATAATAGGTTAAAGTTTTTTGCAAAACAGATTCGACCCAAAAGAGGAAAGAAATATCTGTATAGCCTTGCCTCAATAACTGGCAAATCCCAAATTAGACTTGCAGTAAATAAACATGTTCTTCCAATTGAAAAGAGATACCATCCATTGAACTAATTATGTTCATAGTATATCTAAATTAACAAGTGTAGCTTTATGTATATATATATGTATTCAGTATCTGTCTATGCTGCCTAAACTATTTACCTACGGTTTCCATCCTTTGATGAGAAGTCTAATGAAACCCACCAACAACCTGATTTTAACCTTTTTTTTTTTATGTTTTCTTTCCTTCTATCCTGCCAAATCATGAAGCAACTGTGCCCCCATCAAGTTCCTGTAAGGCAGATGCTGTCCTTCGCCATCTAACAGTGAGTACTGAACTGGTTGACAATCTTCAATGTTGTCTCTAGGGTAAAAGAGAGAATTTTGAGATGCGGGCGAGAAGGCTAAGCTCACCCCATTACCACCATGTTGTTGCAACCCTAGCGTCAATGACACCCCTCCACTATTGAAACTTTGATTAGCATTGTCACTCCCATAAGATACCCCTCCCGCTGTGTGATGACTGTAGGCAGAGAGGTCCAATTCCATGGCACCATAGGATCCAAAATTTTGTTGCTGATGATGCAAGTGCTGGTTTTGAAGGGTTTTCGCACTTTTTGCGTCATTTTTATCCCGGTTAAAGATAATGGAAGACAGACATTCCGAATCAACTCGAACGAGCTGGTCCGGGGTGGGTTTCTGATCAGTGATAGGAATATTTTGATTAGGCAGGTCACCATTATCATCACCATCAGCAACTCCATCTGAGGAGGCCATGTTGTCGTCATGCTCCTTTGTTTCTTCCAAGTACATTTCTTCCACCATTGGTTTCCATAGCCTCACTCTCGCATTAATAAACCAATTGGATACCTAATAGAACACGATCGAGTAAAAACAGAAGGCATCATATATATATATATATATAATATGATCAAATATAGTAGTATAATTATATTTTGGTATGATACAAAAAACAATAATTGCATATGATTATAATAACTTAAGATCCCAACAAGATATGCTCCATCGATAATATAAATTAATTCATGGAGACTCAAAGAATATATAAAGAGGGATGTGGACATGCCTGGCTTCTTGAGAGACCGGTTTGGCGGGCTAAGATATGTTTATCAACATCGCTTGGATACCTGCAAAAGTTTTATTCATGGAAATACAGAGTTAATATAGAAACTTTGCAGCCATGGATAGTACTTTTGGCAACTTGTTTGTGAGCGAAAGATGGGGTCCAGATAAACATGTTAGCAGAATCAAATCCACATAAAAATAACAAAGAGAAGCAGTCCCAAACAAATATATAGGGGGAAAGAAGTTAAATGATGAAAATAAGATGACAAAAATAAAATGTGGAATCTGAATGGTGATGGGTAGAAACTAACAAAGACTGCATTGCTTTTGCAGGCAAAATGATTGAGACGATTCAACATAAGAGAAAACTTACTGTACTATAACAACTGCAAGAATTGTATTCTTTTTCTTAGTAGAAAACATTGGTTCTCTCACAAAATTTATTTCGTATTTTACGTATAAAAAGCATTGAATCTTGGTAAAGCGAGCTGAGATAGGTGGAGAGAAAGAGAGATATTTACGGGTGAAGAAAATGCTCAAACAACCAAGCTCGAAGAACAGAAACAGATCTTTCTGGAAGGCCTCTTTGGGGTCTCCACGGATGACTCTCCATCATGCTCATCTGTTGAACAGCCCTTTGTTGCCTCAAAGATTGATCAAGGATCCTTAACCTTGGTGTTTCGCCTCTTGATGTACCCGGTGCAACTGGGTCTTTTTCTCCCATGGCCTTCCTTGTAGCTTGAATCTGACTAGCAATCCCATCCCTCAAGCATCTAAAATGTCTTGACATGGCCTTGGAGGCTAAAGCTGAATACACTGATGCTGCCCCGGTGCCAGCCACAGCTTCGAAGGAAGACACTACGGCTTTCATTTGGTCACAGTAGTTCCTGTATCTTCTATCCACCTTAAGTTACATGAGAAGATAGAAAAGGATAGGAGTGAAAGAGAGTTTAATTTTGTGTTCATACATGTTAAGGAAAAGAAATGAGAGTTACAGCAAGGAATACGAACAAAGGCAGAGTAATAAGCTGACATGAAAAGAAAAGGAATAGAGGTTTTTCTGATAGTAAATGAAAAGCAAGAAGTGTCATGATGTGGGCATTTATGGGGAGGCCCCAAGTCGCTAAATTAGTTCAAGAAACGAAATTTGGAGACCCCAATTTTCAATCAACCACCCAGCAAAATTTCAAGACTTTTTTTTTCATAATTTGGATTTAAAAAAAAAATGTTCCTTTGTTGAAAAGATGGGAAAGGAAACGATATTTGAGGACGAAAGTTGAAACCGAAACACATATATCATACCTCTTCCAGCATTGAAAGCAGCTTGGTTTTTCTTTTCTGTAACTCCATGAAGTCAAGGGCATAAAGGGACTGCTTCCTTGAAGAGCTAGCTCCATTCCCATCATCCCACTGTTTGGTCTTGTGAGCCTGCTTTTGCTTTGATGCATCAATTTGCTTTGTTCCGAGGCTGCAGAACTCGTTCAAAAGTTCCTGAGCAGGACACAAATACTTTGAACTCCTGAGTGGGAGCTGCCCTTGCTGATGTAGATTTGTAGCTTTTCCCAGAAATCCGTCTTGGATCATTTGTTGCTGCTGTTGAACATTTGTAGGCTTTCCAAAGAAACCATCTCTAGAACTTGAACCAATAAACCTCATATCATCTTGCTGATCATGATTGCTGTGACTGTTTTGCCTGAGTTCAAAAGGCTGTAGCCCAATACTAGTAGGATTACTTGATGAAAGAGAGAGTGAAAGACCTTGGCTTGGCCTCTCGTTTCCTTCACAAGGAAAAACACATCTCAAAGAAGAATCATCAACAAGCAACCTGCCCTCTTGCCAAGGAGATGACTCAGGTCCAACTATTAGATTCTCTGTACTAGTTTCAGGTATCCCAGTTGTGAACTCATGTTTGTGGAATTCATGTTGATAGAAATCGCTCGTTGACTCATTGATCGTCTTCGAAGAAGAAGGACCAGTGTTGCTTCCATGTTTGTTGAAGAACCCTTTCCACATGACCATGTTGCTGTCACCTTGTTGCTGTAGATTCTTTGAAAACCCTATCATCTCCATTCCTGTTGTCAAGTTAAAGATCTCTGGGTTGGAGTCAAAGCCTTGGATCTGATTCACCAGATGGTTTTGCATGGTTGAATTACCAGATGAAACATCTGAGTAACAAAAACCAGTTGATGAGACAATATTCCTTGATTTATCTTCACAGAGTTCTCTAGCCATGTAATCCAAGTTAAACTTTTTTTCCCTTCCTTTTGTTCCTTTGTTTATGCTTCTCTTGCCCACTAGCTTCTCAGATTCTGATCAAAGTTGATGCTGATTCTGCAATTACAATTCCATCAAGATTCACTCCAAGAATAAAGGGCAGCCATAAACCAACTAGTATTAAAGCACAGTTATAAATTAGCTCATAAACAAAGATCAATTTTAGTTACAAAATTTATGAGAGTTTGAAAGTATCCTTTTGATGATACAAATAAACAAAAAAAGAACACTTTGGTTTCATTTCTTCTTTTAGACCAAACTTAATGTAAGAGAGAGAAAAGGGAGGGCTTACCAGTTATGGAACAAGCTGAACTCTGTTGTTAAAGAATCAACAGAAATGGACTTTTCTTAGTGGGGGATTTATGAAGAAGAAAATATTCAGAAGAACTAGACGGTGAAGGAGATGATAATTGTGATGAGAGGGGCTACGCCAAAGTGCTCCCTCTCTTTGCCTTCTCTTCCGTCAAACTTGTTCTGTTAAAAAGCCAACACGGTGTGCCATGAAAATAAAACCTAGGCTGGAAGATCAGATATTTAACTTCCTTTGAAATAGAAGATCAGATATAGAGGTGATGATGACCCTTGTATATAGCAATTCTGTATGGTCGCCTTTTCTTCTCTCTCCCTTTCCTCTCTATCTCTCTCTAGCTAAGTGGGTCAATGTATTATGGATTTAAAATACATCGAAAATAGACTTCCTACTAAGAAAATCAAAGAAAATCCCCTCCCTCAATTATTTCATAACCACCAATAAAAAATATAATTATAATCAAGAAAAAAAAAATAGTACCTAGTTAAATACTGCAGCAGTATTATATTAAAGACGTAAAATAATCATTAAAAAGACAAGTCCCCTGCTTTCAAAGTACTGAAGCAGAACCCAGGAGCACACCGAAAGTAATGATCGTCCTTTGCCTGGTACTCAAACTACAAGCCGCCACATGACCTGTTCATTTTGCTTTTATTTTTTCTAATAATTTCTTTCAAAAAGCCACCCATTCACCCCTATTTCAACAGAACCCATTGTCCTAATCTTAATAATAATCCCACACCGTAGAGAAGAGAAGAGAAGAAAAGAGAAGCCACCCAAAGGGACAAAAGTATAGCAGGGAGAGATCTTTGTAAGGAGGAAGGAATCCCAAAATATTATTCCAAAGTAGGAGTTGAATCCAGGCTTTTTCAGATGAATTTGAGTGAGACTTCTTTTATAGGGAGGGTGGAGCTGTTGTGACCCAAAAATATGTTGTTATATTTACTCACAAGGCTTGTTGTTTTACTTATTTTATTATTATTTTTTAATATGATGAGAGGGAATAGGAAAGGGAAGGGGCATAAATAGACGAATTTGAAAGAGAATAGATGCCTGGCTGCTGTTGTTGTAATGTGAAAAATGTTTCCCAAAATAAGGGACTCTAAGAGTGATGGAGACGAGGTGGTCCAATGTTTCTCCATCTAAATTCTTATTAATTACTCTATTAAAGTACTCCACCCATCTCTCTACATTGCCAATGGGACCCCATCTTTTTATTTCTTTCTTTTTTTTCCCTATTTTTTTATTACATTTATGATGATGAAAACATCGTTTAATCCACGCGCACCCTTAGTCTTGTCATCCCCACTCAATACCTTTCATTGTGACTCGTTCAAATTTCAGCCTCTAAACCTTATTTCATAAATTTATTATTATTATTTTTATTCATAAACCTTAAATATTTGATTAACTACAAATATCTTAAAAGACATTCATTATATGGCTCTAAAAAAGTTAATGCTCACTCAATTATTCAAAATGTTTCATTTTCAAGTTGTTTTCACTCATTAATCCATTTAATCATAATTTTGAAATCGGAAGAACCGACATTTTAAAAATAAAAATTGCCTCTGTCAATATATATTTATATACACATAAATGACATAAAATTTGTTAAAAAAAATCTCCCAAGCACCTTTTTTTATATCATTTTCCATTTATTCTTTTTTTTAGAAAATAAAATTTTAAAACAAATTCAAAATATTTTTTTATTAATTTTCATCAATATTTTTTTTACTTTTAATAATTTTAAATTTTAATACATGATTTTTTTAATTTTAAATTGCAATTTTTTTATAAAAAATTATACAGCTTATGAGCTAAGCCCTCCGTAGACCTTAGGCCATTGGAAAACACTCGCGGAGGGAGGAGAGTGGGCGAAGGGCAAATACAGAAAGAGGTTTTAATTTTTGTCCGTTAAAAGCAGGTGGTCCTAGGAGGAAGCTTTCTCCGCCGCTTGCCAATTTTTTCTTACCCTAAACCCCTCTACCCCATTGCCAACGTCACTCATTCTTGTGCTTTATCTGCTTGTACTTTGTCCTCAAGCCACTACTCTAACACCCCAGCGCATGTTAGCAACTATCCCTATTCCTCATTCCAGCCCCAGGTTTAGTGACTGACTGACTACATCACACTTTGCCACTTCCCACGCTTCAGCTTCCTTTGCCTTACGTATAACTTTCATTAGATCTTCACCACTCCACTGCTAAGCTTAACATTTACATTATATGACGAGGACGAGAAAGGGTACATTGTTTTTTTTTACTATTATTTTACACAAAAGCAAGAAAGTTTTGTACGGATGATGGAAGGAGGAGCCCAAGAAAGACGGGGGAGAGATGCTCAGAACCAAGGAAGTAAAGAAAGTGAAGTAAAAAAAATAACCTGCGAGAGCCCTGGGTGAGGCAGAGCTTTTGAGACTGTTTTGTTTTTTGGAACTTGTAAATCCTTAGGCTTTATAGGGTGGTCCAATCGGTTCACCCATGAACCTTTTTGACGCCCTTTTCCTTTTTTCTTTTTAAATATAATTAATAATGGACTATCCTACATAGACTAGTCGTAGCTAAACGTGAGTTCAATATATAGGTTCAAGTGGCTGGCTCACTGAGCACTGTGGCTAGACAGGTTTGTCAGATATCATCTGTGCATGCAGATGGTTTTTATTTTTTCTTCGTTTGTTGATTAAAAAGCTTTCAGGTTTGTAGTCATTGGAATTGGACCTAGTTACAATCACCAAACAGGGGAGTGTTTTTTAAGCAGAGAATCAGAATGAGTTATAATTATTGCTTGGGGAGCAAATGCCAATTGATTGGTCAGTGTGGTGTGTCATTATGGGTGGTAGGGTCTTTTGATGAGAATGGAGTGTACTTTGGGACAGTACGGTCTTGGAGTATGGGGTTGTCTTTTTACCCCCCTTGGGATCAAGATGGATCTTCAGGCGTGGACCCCGAAACATTTAGAAAAGAAACCCAATCGATATAGGTGTTTGTTTTGCATCCTGTTAATTTCGATATTAGCAAGGCTTCTTTTGGTTTCTTGAATTATCTACTCTCAAAATCTTTGATTTTTATTGAGAAATTAATCACTTAAACACAATGAATTTCATCTCATTAACTTAAAATACCTAAAACATGTCTATTTAATGCACATACATTATTTTTTTCCAAAAAAAAAAATTAATTAAAAGATCTAATTCCTAATTCAACATTCTTTCTTAATATATATTATTATTAGTAGTCGAAAACTGTTTTTAAACCTTTTGTGACACGAATAATAAATATTTAAATAAATAATTGGGCAGAGAAAAAGCCAACATTGAAATGAGCAAAAGACTTGGAGCTGTTTGCGAAGCTATTTATGTGTTGTTGTTGACTAGTAACTGATTACAAAACATATGATTTTATAATATATATCATAGTTTTAGGTTTTGCCCAAGCCTTTCAACGAAAAAGAAAATTCTGATATTTTTGGATTATTGCATCTTTTTCCAAACACGTTTTTAAGGTTTGTTTCATATATTTTTAATTTGGACAGGAGTATGAAGCATTGGCAGCCGACAGTGGTCAAATCCTGCGCCAGGAAAATCACTTGGTCTTCGGACATCTGCCATATTTTCCTTTCCCATCGTACATTTTGCAACAATTTATACGTTGGAATGCTAGGGTCCAGCTTTGAAATCGGACCCCCCCCCCACAGTCCCCACAAATGCAATGTTTACTCATTTAATGTTGCTTGTTGTATTCATTCAACAAATTCATTTTCCACCATAAAACTGTTGCAACGTGCCTTCTTGACAATTAAGCCAATAGGAATTGCTACTTTCGTCTCTAGAAAAAAAAAAGGTTGAAGTTTCTTAAGATTCTTTTTAATTGGCTCTTGCTTTTTTAGAATTAAGGAAAATGTCAAAAATTGATATTTTCTTTCATTGGCAATCTTGAAAGTGAAATTTGAGCATTTAATGTTGCATACGAAAGCACGATGAAAATTCATTTTCAGTATGTGATAATATCAAAATAACATGAGATTTATATTAGTATCCAAATGACACTCAAATGCGATGGGAAGAGATTTTCATCACGCTCCAAAATTCAACCATAAATTTAAGCTTGAAAGGGTATTTACAAGCTTCGAAGGACAGGTGAATGAAAAGAGCTAACTCAAAAAAAAAAAAAAAAAAACTCTCTAGAGGGTTGAGAAAATTGATAAAACTTATTTGAAATTACATAGGTAGAGTTTGTAAAAATTTTTATTAAAAATAATTAAAAAAATTTTGATAAAAATTTAAATCGATAAATTGATAAAATTTAATATGAAGATCAATAATATATAAAAAAAATTATTAAAAATATTATTTATAGTTTAAATTTGATTGATATTTATTTAACGATAAATATTTTATCAATATTTTTATTAAAAATTTTATTTAATAAATATATCAAAGTTTATTAAATTTTTTTCAAATTTTGCATGTTTAATTTATATGATGGGATTTTTTAATCTATTTATTTTGATTTTCAATTTTAATTTTTATTTACTCATTTCTAATAATGAACTTCATAAACTCTACTTATGAAATTTCATATAAATTTTTCTTTGATAAATAAGAACACAAATTATGTATTATAATTTAATTTGTTTTGCCGTTATCACAACTTTATTGGACCACATGGCCAAAATATGAATTGGAGTGTGAAGTGTGAACTTTTCATGCTTTCAAGAGTAACCATATCTTTATTCCTTTCTTTTTTTTTATTCCCACTTATGTGGGAGACATTGCAATTTGTCACAACAAGTGTGCTCTTATAATAGACCACAAAGACGGTGCACATGAAAGGAGAAAAAAAGGGAAATTTGTTCTTTGGTGGGTCAATTTGTGAATTATTATATGAAATAAATAAAGCTGTTTTTCTTTTCATGGTCGTCAAAACATTCACCCTATTTTTGTTCTTGAATGGACTGTCAAGAGCCCTGGATCAAACTTGCTCTAAACAAGCTAGTCATCCATCAAGCCCTATCGGTCTTGATCAATCTGTTATCGAGAGATCAAAGTATATATATGCCAAAAAAAAGGAACTTATAGCCCCCTTGTTTAAAAATGTAAGTGAAAGTGAATGTGAAAGATGGATTTGATATCTCAGTCCCGCTACTGTTTTCTGTTGTGTATCTGATTTAGAAAATCTAGCTAGTTTCATGATCTGGGCTTAATGGTTAATTTATTTCCTCAATGATGCCAAAAAACAAAAAGTTATTTTCCATCTTTCACAATAGAAAACAGTAATGGGATTGTTTATCCTATTGTGTATCTCAATCCCCCTTCTGTACTTTGTTTCCATGCATTTAATAATTTTCAACATGACTATCCTATTTGCATGTAACCAAATGCAAGGACCCAGCCAATCGTATTTGATACTTAGTAGCTATAAATTTTTTTTATATAAATTCAAAACTCAAAGTTCTGTTTTGATTAATATGGTATTATTATTTTCTTTATTATTCTTGAAGCATCGTGAATTTTAAATTTATTGTTTACACATGTAATAACATGACAATAATCAAGATATATGAACTTTAATTATTCAAATTATCATATCATATGTCACAAAACATTTTTGATATTTGAAATGTTATAACGTCTCGATCTGTAGATCTATCGTCAGACATTAACTTGAGGAGTCGCGCACCAATCTTTTTTGTTTAGGTGTGATTGGTTACCTGACTGAATCTGTCTCTTTTTAAAGAAAAACCCTAAGTCTGACTTAGGTATCTTTGCAAGGTAGATTTAATATCTGCGAAACCAAAACTAGGTTTGGGAGTGCGGTTACGTGTGAGGAAGGTTATAGCACCCCCGTAACGCCCATTGAAAGATGATACCAGCTCAATTTTGTGTTATCCATTAGCCTTAAAAACTTTACAAAGTAATTAATTATCAGAAATTATTCTTAATTAACTTAATACTTTTAGCAAAAAATTAAAAAAATCTCCTCACCTCA